TCGGATCTTTCGCTTACTTTGGTTAAACCCATTAGGTTCATCAATCAGTTAGTAGGCTACAATTAAGTCTTTTATGATCTCGTTAATCAGCTTGACTTTTTTACCTACTACAATTATGATATCTTCCGATTATTTTAATAAGCTCAGTGGACTACAATTAAGTCTGTTGTGCTCATTAATCAGCTAGACTCTTTCACTTGTTACAATCGTGATACCTTTGGCATTCCTTAATCGACTTGGTGGGCTACAATTAAGTCTGATAGGCTCGTTAATCTTCTCGACTTTTCGGCCTACTACAATTATGATACCCTTAGAATTCCTTAATTGACTCGGCTGGCTACAAGTAAGTCTACTGGGTTCATTAACCTTCTTCGATTAAAACCCATTTAGGTTCCTTAATCGGATCAACTCATATACCTGCAACAGTTAAGTCCTTTCTTAGGTTCCTTGATATACTTGATCTTTATATATCAGTTCCACTTAATTACTTACCCCCAGTTTAGGATTGTTTTAAGGTATTAAAAAGTTAGTCAAGTATAAATAAACAAAAATATCTTTTATTAAAACTCAAAGAGAACAAATTACATCTACCTAACAAAAACAATAAATTTAAGGCTTGTATTAAAATTAATTCCTACTTAGATTATTTGAGGCCCTGTTCGACCTCTTTCTTTTGCAGGTTGTCGTGGTCTTGCCTTGAGTAGAGTAGTTTACATGCACTCGTATACTTTTGTGCTTGGCTTAATGCTTTCGCAAAGGTGGTCGGAGTATTTTTCCCTAACGACAACAAAAATCTTTCATCTCTTAAGCTAGACATGAATACGATAAGTGAAATCCCATCAGTAAGTCCGTCGACCTAAAGCTTTTAATTGTTGAATTTGGCGATGTAGTCTTTGAGGCTTTCAATACATATTTGTTTGATGGTGGAAAAATGTGTTGAAGGTTGTTGTCAGTCTCGCCCTCCAAAAAATTGAATTATGAAGGCTCGAGACAACTATTTTAAAATAAGAGATTGATTTTGTGCCGCCTTAGTAGTGCGTAAATAGAACATGTAGCCTAAGCAAAAGTCGATATTCAACCAACCTATGATCCACTTATTGTTTCAACTTACTATCAATCAACTGTATCTTAGGTTCTTATTTCCCTTTTCAGCTTTTGATACCACATCCGAGCTAGCCCTATCAAAGTAAAAGGAAATGAACCCTACCTTTGATGGCACCGCACGCTCTCTAGACGTCCATCCATTCCCGATATGCATCTAGATGGTCTGTCAGATCAGTCGAACTATTATATTATTTGATTATTGTCAGTAATTTGATATTTGGGGGTATTTCTAATCCTTAAATAACACATTATAAATCACTGGAAAGGTAAAATTATACATACTTAATATGCTCTAAGAAGGATAAATTGAAAAACGATGAAATTACATTTATCAAAGGTTGCAGTGGAGAATGTAGCATTAATAACTTCTTTCCACAAGGCTGGGACACACATCATAGTATCTCGAAATCGCGAGGAGGGTTCTACTTCTCACATTACTTCTTCCAATACTCAGCTTATGCTTGAAAAGAGTAATTATTTAGGTACGTGAACTTCTAATTTAGATGTATTAAAACCCTTACATCAATTCAACTTCAACCCTAAGGTCGAAAATGATTGCCTTAAGATCAAAGTTGTGGCAACAAAAAAAAAAAAAAACTTAACTCGAGAGTCGAATACTCGTTAAAATAAAATTATCAACGTTACATGAATTACAAAAGGGTTTATGAAACTCGCCATATCATCAAGTGTAACTAGGTTTCATATCCAAATAAAGCTACTAGTATAGATCACTACTAAAATGAAATAAGACAATGATAAGGCCCATGTTAAGGACAATGGTACCCCAATACCCCGATTATCTCCACAATGGTATGATATTGTCCGCTTTGGGCATAACACCTTACAGTTTTGTTTTTTATTCCACCTCAAATGCCTCGTACCAATGAAGATGTCCTCTTTTATATACCATGGATCACCTCTTCCCTTGCCAATGTGGGACTTTGTTTGCACTCCTTACAAACCCAACAATCCTCCCCTCGAACAAAGTACCACCGAGCCTCCCATCAAGTAATCACTCATCTGTCTAATCTCGGACAGGAACGAGAGCTTTGCTCTTATCGAAGGCTCTAGGGCACAACACAACTTGATAGAGCACAACTACAGATTACACCATGACTACATCTTCTGAGACTCACCACTTCTTTGTTCGACACTTGAGGATTCACCGACACAGCTAAATTTTAGACCATGGCTTTGATACCGCTTGTTAAGGAAAACGGTACTCCAAGTACTCAGAGTATCTCCACAATTATGATATTGTCCGCCTTGGACACAGCCTTCATGGTTTTGCTTTGGTTTCACCTAAAAGGTCTCGTACGAATGAAGATAATTGTCCTCTCTTATATACCATGGACCATACCCTTCTCTAACTAATGTGGAACTTTGTTTGCACTCTTTACAAACCCAACAGCCCAACAATGACCAAAACTATATAAGACATAAGGCCCTGATCGAATAATATAAGGACAAGACGTAAATGAGCCTACTAAATACATCAAACTAGGGGTAAAATATTAATTCAACGTTTCTATCAAGATCATGTCACTAAATGTCCTCCAAGATGTAATTGAAAAGCTAGGAGTGTTGCAAAACGGCTTGATCATATCTTGATTAGTTGTTAGGGGTTGGACACTTAGCTCGACCATAATGTTATATATCTTATAAATGATTAAATTATCCAATATGGTGTAAATTAAGTTTTTGGGTTCATTGGCGATTTAATTATGTCCAATTAAATCCCATTCGCCACATCATCAAGTCTATCCTATATCAGAGCCCAACAAGCTCAGGGGGCATATTAAAGATCCCATGTTGAAAAGATAATGAACCTAACAAAGGTTTATAATATACATTTTCTACTTTCATTGCCAATTAGTTTTGAGATGTAATCTCATGAATTTAAATATGGTATTACAACCCAACAAGCTCAAACGAACATCTAGTTAAAAAATGAGATCTAGGCCAAGATTAGTGAGCCCAACGAATTGGTTTTGAGATAGAATCTCATGAATCTTGATACATAATCATTTTTGTATGGAACACTTTTCATTATCAAGGAGAGAGTAAACACAAGCCTGTTTGGTAACGCTCCCGTTTCATATTTCTCGTTTTCAATTCTCTTAAGAAATCTAAACATTTTGCAACTACTATGTTTTTTGTCTCTCCCTTTTTTTGAACATTCTCAAAATTGTATACAAGTTTTCGAAACAACCAAAACAAGTTTATTCTTTCTTGTTATCATTTTCAATTTGTTATAAAACATAGATAAAAGATTGTTTTATCATACTTGAATTCATGAATGTTGAGACCATGTAATTCATTTTTCTTTATTAAAAATGAAGAAATAGAAACAAGAAACTGGAACGTTACCAAACAACCCATGATGTTCCATACTCAAAGAAATTTTTTTATTGAGTTTTGCTCATGTGTTCTCATCGGCCTCAAGTGTTCACAATCTTACTATGAAATTTAACACTTAGGTAAGCTTCATGGTGTAGGTCAACTTCAACATCTCAATTTACTTTTTTAGTAAAGTTTATTTCGGAACCATTTATCTATATTCGTTAACTTAAATTAAAAAGAAGTTATAAATAAGATTTCTTTGGTCAGCAACAACTTCAAATGGATAATTCACCATTCAGAATTAGAATTAATCCTAAATCCTTATGTTTGTACAAACTCTTAGATCACAAATATTAAAATCCTAAGTGATCAAATTTGATCTCGTTCCTTAATCCTTACGTTTATGCAAACCTTTTTAGATCATCAGAAATCTAGAAACTTTCAAGATTCCAAAGAAAAGGTAACACAAAGATTGTAAATATAAAAGAAGTTCTTTCGACCTTCGTAGCCTTCAATACGCAATTTTCATTGACATCGACATATTATCTTAGAAATGCTCCACGTGCTAGCCCTAGCCAACCAAAAAAACCCTAAAGTTAACCTTAAAATACAATTGAAAGGGATGTAAACTATACAAAATAATCAAAGACACTGATCTATAACCTATGAAGTAATTGAAAAAGTAAGGACAAAGCTTAAAACTGAAAATACATTAAAGTTCAAAAGTGCAACCATGGCCTATGTTTCACTTTTTTAAACTCAGTAATCGATCAAGTTTTAAAGACGTTGAGCTTGAAGTAGCTTCGAAAGCTTAGTTATACTAAATGAAGCTAACTTGTCTTCGATAAAGTTTGAGATGCACTTAAGTTCAACATGAGAGGCACTTGATATCAATTTGATTCTCTTTGATAAGCACAGTCTAAAGTTACTTATATAGTTTTAATTAAAATTAAAATCTTTAAAATTCTAAAATTAAATTGGACAAAAACATTCATATTCAAGCCCTTCAAAGTTATTTCATAGCATATATATAACTCTTTACCAGAATAGTTAAAAGACATTAGTAACTTTTTCTAGTAGAAGGTTGGAATCTCGACTCCCATGTTATTTCTCAAAATTGACTAAGATTATTCCAATTTAAAACAGTTCATTATTATGGTATATAATTCTTAATAGTTCACATATCATATGGATTTATTTTCTAGGGACAAATAATTAAATAAAGTGTTGGTTATAACTGAGGTGAACAATTGAATCCCAAAAGTCAATCAAATTGATCAAAATCGACCAAACCAATGTCGATCTGTTTTCCATCGTTGAATGCTCGATGCTGAAGACGATGCGGTTTGAGAGAGAGAGTGAATAGGGTCATCTTTTTACAAATGTTACCTTTCTCACATTGAAAACTTTTAATCGAGAACCCCAGCTTGAGAAAAAATGGAAGAACATGTTTTATTAAACATTTGTAATGTTGTGTATACCTTAAAAGTATATAATGTTATATATAAATATAATATAACCTTGCTTTTTTTTTTTTTTTCCATCTTGTGAAGTATGCAGGGTCTACTTGAGAGGCATAATAGTGTGCATTCAGAAAATCTTCCCAATTTGAATGAACCATCAGTTGAGTTGCAGGTAATTTACACCGTTTTATGTTGGCTCCCTCCCAATTTTTTTGGTATGTTTTTCTTACTTCTTAAAACCCCATTTTGACTTCCATGGCCTAATTTAAAAAATAAAAACAAGCATTTAAAAATTTGGCTTAAATTTTGAAAATATTTTTAAAAAATAAATAACACACTCAAGAAATAGAATGATAAAAGTAGTGTTTATAAGCTTAATTTTTAAAAACAGGAAATTAAAAATGTAATAGTTATCCAACGGGTTTTGATCTGTGGTCAAAAGCAGCTTTGAAGTCAGACCAATTTGGGGAAAATTACAGTTCATAAATAAAAACCCTAATTTTGATTCTGGCAGTACTGGAACGTTGAAGAGATATATGGTAAGTGCAGTAACAAATCTTTCCCAAATTCTAAAATTAAGAAACACATAATTAATGAGAACTGAAGGCAACGTGTATTGATGGAAAATGAAAGGGAAAATTACCATTTTAGTCCTCAATTTTGAGTTTAACTTTCATTTCGTCCCTAGGTTTCAAAATGTTATACTTTTACCCTTGAGTTTTGAATTTAGTTTCTATTTGATCCCAAGTTTTGAATTTAGTTTCCATTTGGTCGTTAAGTTTCAAAATATGAACACCTTTACTCATGAATTTTCAGGAATGCTCACGGTTGATCTCTAACATAACAGAACCATTAGTAACCCTAATGAAAACTCAGACGGGTCCATTTAATATTAATTTATATGTTTTCATGGTAGAAATATTTATTGTTATAACATTTTAATCAGTGATATAACAATATATATAGCTGACGGTCCTCAGATTTTTGTAACATTTAAAATTTAGAGACCAAATAGAATCTAAACTCAAAAAGGTAACAACTTATTTTATCCAAAACATATAATTGTTTATAAGACTGCCTACTTTGAAACAAAGAGACTGAACTAAAAGAGAGAAAAATAAATTAAATAATGATTTTGAATGGCAATTTCTCTGAAGCCGTTTCTTTATCTTATTATATTTTTTGTTTTGGTAGCTCGAGAGTAATATGCGAGCCAAGTTGAACGAAGAAGTTGAGAAAAAGACCCATGAACTGAGGTGAGTAGTCAAAACCCATCAACAATGTGTTTTTTGTGCTCTGAAAACGGGGAAAGAAATACAAAATTCTTATTTATAGAAGCAATTTATTGTGTGAATGTAACAGGCAAATGAAGGGAGAGGAGCTTCAAGGATTGGGCATGGAGGAACTCAAGAAATTGGAGAAATCGCTTCAAGGAGGACTCAACCGCGTTTCAGAAATGATGGTTAATTATTCTATAACGCACTTTTGGCTGTAAAATGCGTATAAGTTGGTAAGTAAATTTGATTGGAACTCTTCATATATGTTTCAGGACGGAAGAAATATTGATTTGATCCATGATATTGAGAGGAAGGTAATCATTAAATTATACCCTGATTAGATTCTTGTGTAATTTGTGCGTCTTGAATGTGATTCCCTTTTGTTCATGACGTGTTTTTTGAGCTCAATGTTCTTTTAAGCTCTTCAAGTTTATTGAATTAAGCTATTTAGATTAATCTTATTAGTAATTAAAAGAATTGAGAGTCTTGGTCTAGTTTAATCAACAGCCTCTGATGACTTTAGGGCACACTAGGGTTTAAAATTTTATTACAAATTTGATATATTTTAGGTGATCACGAACCCACGACATTAAGGAATGCTAAAAAAGTGTCAATCTTGTAGGGTATTATAATACAGGTTGGATAGAAGATTAATTTCATCATTTCTTATTGTTTTTTGTATTTGTATTGAATTGCGTGATTCCTTAGATAATTTGTCATGGGATTATGATAATCATATGGTTTTCTTTTATGTTAATTGTCTGTGTAAAGAAGTAATGTTCACTCGTTAATGACATGGGAGATATGGAAAAGTAGATTTTCATTTTACTTCACGGCAACAAAGTTTCTTGATGAATCGTCCCACTTTAAACTTGAAAATTCTCTCTCAAGCTTTATCCATTACCTAAGCAAGAAACGTTAGATGCTACCTTAGAAACCATCAAAATCCCAACTTAAGACACTTCAACTGAGAATATAGACTACGAGAATCACTCATTACAAATTACTATGGGAATTAAATAAAACAAACTACCAAAAGGAAGATGAGTTTTGTTGATGAAACTAGAAAGGATCTAACAAGGGATACCCTAAAGTTTGAAAAATGGGACGTTGAAAATTTTCTCATAAACTCTATAGAATCCAGAAACTAGCTGAGGGTGCACCTTCTCCTTCTACCAACCCAAACTTTGTACTGAAGTCACTAAACTAGGATGACCGCGATAACTGCATTTGCTATTAAAAGTCAACCTTTGCTCTCCCGCTGTTAAAAGTCAACCATTGTTTTCCTTACGTAAGTAACACTGTACTCACATTATTTATTATGATCTTCTGAGTAGGATATGTAATACGTCCGACGTTACACCAAACGTACGGCTTGAACTTCCTCAGCTTTAGGGCACCTTCTCATCATTTCCTCACATCTTCAACATCTAGCTATAAGAAAATCCAATGCTGATGTTTTTATTGGTTTTGATTCGATAGAGCTCTTCTCGAATCTGAACTCCTTAAAAGCTTACCATAAGGAACCATGTAAAATATCTACAGAAGTTGCTGTAGGAGTTCAAGCAATCACGTAAGGAATGGTTTGGAAAATTAACAAACATTGTACCGAAGCTTGTTACAGACGAGTCAAGGAGGTCACACCATATTCCTCAACCATGAAAACCAAAAACTTTGAAGAAGAAGCTCACACATGAGTTTGAAATTATTAGGTAAACTTAAATATTTCCTAATTTCTAAAATCCTTTGAATTGGCCCCAAATATTCCATTATGGTGCATCAAACCATTCCCACATGAGGAACTTTTGGATTTTATTCCAAACATTTCATACAAGAATTTTCCAAACAATGGTTCATCATTAGTTTACCTTATATGAAATTATCAACCAGTTAGACTGCCTTAACGATAGTATCGCTGCTGACCAAAAATAGTTTGTCAAAGCTGGATAAAAATTACAATTTTTCTACGGTAATTCGTTGAACCTTGCTTGCTAGTCTAGTAGCACATCATGATATAAGGAGAGATTTTCAGGTCATGTAGCTTCAATACTTGTTCTTGTTGTATATAGTTAAATGGTAATTAACACCTAATTCTTCTCTTGAAGTCGAAGTTCAAACTCCCAGACCCGAATTTGTGGTAAAAAGAAAATATTTGCTGTTGTGGTAGCTATTTATGTGTTGGTTTATTTGTGAATATATGCTGTAAATATTAATGATTTGATTATTTTACTCTTATTTTCCTTTTATGAATTGAGCCTTTCTCCTATATAAGAAAGGCTTTGTATCTCTTATTTTTAGATATATTGGAATACAAATATTTTTATTCCATCAAAATCAAGTTGGTATCAAAGCCAAAATAAACCCTAATATCCCAAGGGCTTGTAGAAACCCTAGCCACCATCTTTATCCTTTAAACCCTAGCCGCTGCCATTACTGTTGCCGGAACCCTAGCCGCTGTTATTCTAGAACGGTGCATCCTACTTCCGGCACGGTAGGTTACTATTCCGACACTCTAGTTCGCCATCACCACCTTCACCATCGGAACCCTAGCCGTCATCTTCAAACGACGCATCCTACTTCCGGTCGGTCCCTTCGTGCGCGGTGTTTCTCATTTGTAGATAGACGGAGCCATAGTTT